AAATCAAGTACAGCAAAATATTAAAATACTGAAGGGTCAACGTAAACGTCAAACCTCTTGGAGTTTATCTTTTAGAATGATACACATATCACAATTGAAAATGCATATTATTGAGAGAGAAAAAAACTAGAGAAGCCAGTTTATATAATAATAACAAATGAAATAGTTTTCTCATAATTAGTGTACTGCGCGATTGAGATTTTTGATCACGTAGTACGCTACTCATAATACATTTTTACCATATATAAAAAATTACTACACAAGATAAAAGTTCTTGCAGTATAACTCGCTCAACATTGTTTGAATGTAACCTCTAAAAAGCGTTTTGTCAGCATCATAACCTGCATTTGTTTTGCTGGCTAAGACAAAAATTAGAATTAGATATGCTGTTTATCCTAAATCATAAGAAAGATGTTCATCAAGTTAGTTTTGAAGTTCGACGCGAAGTTGAATATCGGAATTGTTAGTGTTGATTAAGTAAAAAATAAATGCTAATATTAATTTACCGTACGAAAGCAATATGCTCCGAGCCGAAATCTAAGATCTGTTTGATATTTGGTGTTTGTATATTGAATTCCATTATATTTTTTCCACTGACGCTGTAATAACTAAAACTAATTAGAAACTCAATTTATTTCGAATTGAATTGATGAAAAATGATGTTTTATGAAAATAATGAAAAACATAAATGAAAATCTATATGCACGTGACTTTTATGGATAGAAAGCATGTTCACCTTATTTCTAATGAGTCCTAAAGGTAGAAAATAATTCATTCCTCTTCTTTTTAATGGCATGGTTTGAAAAGAAGTAGCCACTCTCTACCTAATGAGAATTCTATATTTTTCTTCTCATTTCTTCGGGTACATTGAGCTTATATCATAGCTTTGTTGGTAGAAAAAATTCATACTAGATCTTTCTATGTATGATATATATATTTTATAAACATAAAAAATGATTTATATGAATTCGATTATACATGCCGTATATGACATGGTATCTATTTATTATAATGTCCGATGGTGTAGTATAAAAGGTTATCGAATGATAAGTTGATTATAATATGAATAGATCATAGATTCGCGTAGTTCTTGATTATTCTAATGCGATATTAACTATCATTAGTGTTGTATTGGCAAGAGAAAAACAACCCGAAAATAGTTATCACTCATATAGATTTTGACATTATAATATTACCTTGAAAAACATAAGAAAAAAATCTTGCTTTCAATAACTATTTTGATTGATATGTTGTCATCAAAACGGTACTTATGTATATCACGAGCAAATAACTAACTATTTAATAACAATAATTACAATAATGACCTTTATTAGTAAGCAAATAAAACCTATTATGATTATTTCCTGAAAGTTTCAGTAGAAGAATCAACCTTGTGTGCAATACTAATTTATGATAATGAACGCTATAATTATTACAGTCAGCTGTTCGATTCTAATTGATATACAAACAAAAAAAGAAATGTCATTTCTTTTCAGAATGAACAACAAATAGATTTTACTATTAGCTGGTAGTCAATTGGTTAAATTCTAATTTGTTAAACGATGAATCTGTAATAATATAGAATTTCTTTTCTTAATTTATCATTGATATATCTAATAATTTATTTGTTTATTCATTCATTCATTGGTTCGACTGCTGACGTCAGCAGACGTAATAATAATTTTCCAATGACATCGTGCATAAACACTAATTAAGTCGAGCAATAAATTGACAATTATTCGAACAAAAAAAAACCTTTAGTTATTTGATCAAATGCATTATTTATTACGTTAAAGATTTAAATTGAACGATTATGTCATTGATTTAGGAAATCATACAAATAAGTTCTTTTTTCTGTTTGTATTGTATTACGACACCTTTTAACTGAACTTTACGGACCGTTTCATAAAAAAATAATGTATTATTCAGTTTGATAGAAAAAAAATAATAATCCGTTATTTAATTATTGAAAACTATATTTTTCTATTTATTTTTCAGTACATCTTTTTGTCGTCCACTTCATTCATTCATTCATTTTTTTTCTTCTTTTCGCACGAATCAGCAATCCTGCTGCTTCGTTTGTAATCGTTATATTACACCTCAAGCACGCCTTTTACCCTCCTCTTCTCTTATCTTTACAATATTTTTTCCTCATTTTTACATTGACTCGTTGTTTTTATTCAGCACGCGCACTTGTGCTCTCATAGGAAAAGAACACCTATCTACAATAGAAAAAGAAACTTCCGTAGGTAAGTAAGATACATTCTCTTTAAAAAAGACTAGAAGCGATCGATCAACTATCATTTTGTACTATGCAGTAGCTAATATGAATGACATGCATACGAGGAGTAAAATGCGTACATATCATGTTGTGATTGATTCTCCATATATACATCTAACATAACGTTCGAATAGTATTGATTGCACAACATTGTACGATCGATTCACTCAAAACGTTCCTTTTTCTCCTATGTATACATATATTTATATAATCCTCGTTCGTGGTCACATTGTCGTTGTCGACATCGATGAACCGATGTATGCGTGTACATATCGATAAAAATAATTGTATATTACGCCATACATTTGTTCATTTAATAATCTTTTTTTGTCTTCTGTTAGACAGACAGACGGACAGGTAGACAGGCAGGTAGGTAGACAGGTAAAGATCATAATAGAAATCATATATCGAAGAAATATAGGTAAGTATACTTTCATTCGAATAATCACGAAAGACATATTGACGGGAACCAGTTAAACAGCAGCTGTAGGAGTTGCTTCAAGTATACTACTTCATTCTTTTTCTTCTTCTTCTTCTTCTGTTCGTTATGTACTATTAGTCAGTTATATTGTTATTCTCAGTAATTTTATTTACATAATAAAAGCTGAAGAAAGGACAAAAGTTGCATGTCGAACTAATTTATTAATATGACTTTGAATTTATGTATATGGATTATTTTTCTTGTAGTTTTGACCAAGAGTGAAGTCTAGCACATCAATAAGAAATAGCACTTATATTTCTTTTCACCTAGCGTTTGACTCTTTATTCTTACTACGTGGTCGTTGTTCTCATCTTATCACATAGAGAAAATTGATCTCATCGATGTGAGCTTTGATGCGTACACTTGTGAAGAGTGTTGTCCTTGATCACATGTGTCTTATTCAGTGTCATTATTCTCAATGATATATAGCTATGTATGTACGTGCATGTATAGTGCCTAGTAAATAGAGAGGAAAGAAAAATCGCTGACTATAAGATGTTCACGGTTTCCATATATAAATAATCGAAAATCATCTTCTCATCATTGTTGTAATAATCTTATGTATAATGTTTGTGCACTATTTGAGTGACCTCGTTTTATATTTGAGTGTATGTATGTACATGCAAACCCACAAGTGTCGAAAGAGAAAAGAAAGTGTGCCGTATGTGATCGTGCACCCTCATAGATCCAATGTAGGAGAAGAAAAAAAGTTTGTTGAACTAGTTTGTCGTTGATGATTACTATAGAGAGTGAAAAAACGAAGTACCTAGAGCAACAATTCGTCTTATATAATAAATATTTTTGTTTTATTTATTTCAGATGATCAATACAGCTGATGCATCAATGGAATTAATGATTGCTGAGCCACTTGCTCCTCCATCTTCATTAAAATCTCATAATTACTATCACGAATCATCAGGTTATTCATCGAAAGAAGCTGACTGTAGTAGTCCAGAAAATAAAACACAAGAAGTTAAACTAAGAACTTTAACAAATCGACCAGTTGAAATTGCTCGTCGACGTCAGAAAATATCAACACCATCAATAGTGTCAAATACTAGTTCATTGACTATTAATGAATCTCTTCCCGTAAGAATTAAATACTAAAGTCATATGTAATTTGTTTCGTTCTGTCAAAAGAAAGGTCAATATTGGATGAAACTTAGTTTCTCCTTGTCTTTTTCATCTCACTTTTCGAGGTTATCTAATAGTTTGATGACTCTGGTTTTCTTTTTAACCTTCATAATACTAATTCATAAAAATCTATTCATCTATCTAAAGGTCATGATTATCGATAAAACAAATCATATTCAGTCGCCAATCTGTGATGAACAACTTGAACATTTTCCTTTAACTATTTCAACTGATAATAATCGTATTCCAATAAAATCACCTTCCTATCAAGCAACACTCTTTGCTCGCCGTCATTTTCATATATATGACTGTGCACGTGTTTCATTCTACGATAATGTTCCAACTCCACTTGGCTATTTAAGTGAACCTTTCGTTGTTGAAGATTGCTCGCCATTGTCAATATCATCGAATGATGATAAAATGTTGTCGATAAATCAAAAAGATTCAGGTCTTGATACAAGTAGTGTTGAACGACACATAGATTCAATTTTACTGACTAATAATATTAATCGGACATTATCTTCGTCGTCATCATCATCGTCATTGAATAGTAGTATAACAAATACATCATCACGTTTACCAACTAGCCGTAAAATACGTGTTAAGTGGCATTCATTTACAAAAACGCATCGTCCTAGTTTTAATTCATCAAAATATCATTTAGGACAAATGTCTGTCGGACAATTATTAGCTCTACGTCGTGCTGCTTTAATTCGTTTACAAGAATTATTTGATACAACACGAATATTATCAATGAATAAATCTACATTAGTTAATAGAACAATGGCATCACGGCAATGTTTACTTGCAACAGCATTTAGTGTTGTACCAAGATTAATTATTCGACGACATCAACAACGAAAGGTTTGTTCAAATGAATTTTAAGTAATCCATTCATTTAATTAGTGTAAAATCTTCTATTTTTTCTTATCTATAGGAAGTTCATCATGAAATAAAGAAATTAGTCTTCGGTGTTTCTCATCTTTCCATGACACAACGTACTGGATATCCAGTACCAATTACAATTATTTCAGCTATGAAATATTTACGACGTACATCTATTGATAGTGTTGGCATATTTCGTAAACCGTAAGTGAATAAAAACAACAAAGGAAAATAGTAGTATCACTATTTTAGCTTCTTATCAATGTTTTAACCTTGAAAATATAATGATGTTTTGGTTAACTCAAAGAGAATCGAATAACAAAACAATGCTATAAATAACATATATTGTTTTTTATTATACTGATGATTGCAAAAATTTTTAATTATATATAAATATCACATCAGGACGTCCAATTATTTTCAAGAGATTATTTTATGAGTTTGAATAAAAATATAGAGCTAGTTCGTTGTCGATTTTTATTTGAATTATAAGTTAAGAATTTCTATTAATTGAAAGAATCACTTAGCTATCATCCGATCATAACAAAAATGATCTGAGAATTCCTTATTCACAACAATGCTATTATATATTTCGAATTGAAATTGATCACATTTAAAATGTGAAACAAAGTTAACGACTGAAGTTTTGTTTTTGTAGCTAAGTTGACTTCATAAAGGGTATTATTAACTGCTACATGAGAGATTTAAAGAATATTTTTTCATCTTCAAAAAGTAATTTTTACCTGAAGCTGATTTTCATAGGATCTGACTGTTGAGTAGAAAGAGATTTTGCTTATTGTAATATCTTATTCAATGCAGCACTCAGTATCCTATGACTAAAACTTAGGCATGTGTCGAAATAGCTGCTTAGTATTGTACTGATATACTTTGAAACTTTTTGTCTCTAAATGATTCAATGATAATCGTATGTATTATGTATAGATTTTTTCACTTGTGAAATCTTTTTTGTAAGACTAGAATGCTCTCGGCTAATATATTCGAAGAATATCATAAATAAATGTATCATTTTTATATTTAGTGGTGTATCTCATCGTATAAAACGTCTTCATGATCTAATAGAATCCGATCTTGAATATCATCAATTCGATGATTTTAGTCCATATGATGTATCCGATGTATTAAAACAATATTTTCGTTTATTACCTGAATGTGTATTTACAGCCAAATTATCTCCATTATTTCTTCATATAAACAATCATTTTTCCAGTGCCGATAAAGCTTTTATGAAAATAAATAATGAACGTCGTTTACTAGCTTTACAGTATGCTATACTATTACTGCCGGATGAAAATCGTCTTGTTTTGCATTTACTCTTATCATTTTTAAATGATGTTTCAAGACATTCAAAAACAAATCAAATGAGTGCAATCAATCTGGCAACATGCTTTGCTCCAACATTATTTTCATTTCATAGTTATAATAAATTATCTTCGAACGGTATGCCCGATGTAAGAGAAATTCAAGAACAACGTAAAGCTATGGATATACTTGCATTTATGATAGATCATGTTCGTTCATTATTTATTGTACCTGCTGAATTACATCAAGCATGTCATTTTTCTTATATTGAAATTGGCGAACCATGTACACTCGAAGAACTATCACGTCGTATTACAGACACAGCAATAACAAGTCCAACTGTAAATAAATCTCGTCGTTATTTAACAAATAAACGTACAGCACAGCAGCGTGCAAAAGAAATAAGTACTATATCCGCATCAGATTCAATTGGTTCATTGTCATCATCATCATCATTATCATCATGTGAAAATATACTTTTAAATGCTAATAATAATAATAATAATAGTAATTTAAGATTAACGAAAACAAAAATGAATACATCGTACCAGAATTTTATTGATCGTTGTATAATTGAAGTAATGCGTGAATCGTCGTATACAAAACTAAAAGGATGGACATCATTTGGAAAAAATAATGATTTAGACTTAGCATTTAAAAAGTTAGATGATGGACATCCACTTGGTTTATGGAAATGCTCAATCGAAATTGAAGCACCACCTATTGAAATTCTTAATCGACTTTTAAATGAGCGAAAATTATGGGATGATGGTTCGTATTGATCTCTTCGTATTTTTTTGAACGTAATATGCTCTAACAACACAGAGTCTCATAGTCGTTCAGTGTAAAGATGTATCATATAGAATTGATATAGAATAGTGACCACGAGATTATGCATAAGTTCGTTCTCATTGCCAAAAGAGAAAACAATGACAGGCGTATCATTTATTAAAAACAAAATTAATGCAACGTGAATTCAAGCGTATACTAGCCGCCTTAATGGTTGTCACATGCATATTGCTTTTGAATTTGAGATCATGCCTATACATAGATCAAAATGAGTTATGAACAACTTTACAGTAGTTCTCACTTTTATTCTATTGTTTAAATTAATGTCGTCTTCGTTCTCAATCACATGAGAAAAAGTGATTTTGACTTGAAGTTTTTGTTTAGAAATACATGTTGACGATAGTAGTTCATTTTTTAAGCTTCATAGATCTTATCGCTGTTTCCCTCTTGAGGTATGACTAGCGTAAGAGTATTTCTTTCATATTACTGATTCAAAAGAGATCCGAGATTCTCTTAATAGACTTATTTCATTAAAATATCTCTCTACACAAAATTTTAAGTCGAACAACAGTTTTTTAATGATGTTTCAGAGGAAGAGTCATAGCATTCTTTTATTAATATTACGTATGTAAGAACAGTATGTTCGCAACAATAAGATTAAATTGTGAACTCTTTTCAGCATGCCCATAGTTCACTTCGATTGATCTACTGCATGAAGTCTGAATTCAGAAGTGATTTATGAGTTGAAAGATTGCTCTTGAAAGAAACCAGTAAAGTTTCCACGAAAACAAATATAAGAAATGTGTCAAAACGTCTGTGACACATTTAGAAATGATTGAGCACGAAGTATTTTCTCCTGCAATCAAAAATAAGTCATCAATCGAATTGCTTAGATGAGATATTCAGTTCCGCTTATAACAAAGATCTTTATGAGGAGTTTCTTGTTACATAGACAAAAGAAAGAAAGAAAGAATGACTCAAATAGTACTAAAATTGCATAGTAATCCTTTTTGTTTTCTTATTAAAACTCGTAATAAGTCTTATTGATTTCGAGATCAGTTGTTTTTTCAATTAAAATTCAACTAGTATATTATTTTAGATTTTCAATCCGGAAATATCATCGAAAAATTAAATCGTAATACACACGTTTATCAATATACTATCAATTCAATGGTAGCTAATTTTTATTTTAATATTAAAATTAGTTAATATTTCTTTTTGTAAATCTTTTAGACGCCTCTAGCATCTCGATATTTTTGTGAAGTACGCAGTTGGAGAACAAATATTCAATTAAATACTAATGGTAGCTATCAAAATAAAATATTATCAAAAAATCTTCCAGTTGGTTCATCATCATTGGTTTCATCAAGCGCCATAACATCATTTATTTCGACACAAAATAGTCAACAACGAGAAGCTTGTGTTCTCGTGTGTACATCTATTGAACATCCGAAAGCACGTTGTCCACCTAAGCTTGGTCTGTTATAATATCGAACGGAAGAAAAAAGAATAAAATTTTATTATTTTTAGTTCGTGCAGTTACTTTGGCTTCACGATATTTAATTCAATCGTATGGTTAGTTTGATATTATGGTACCGACAAAATAATTTTTAGTTGTGTTTCAATATATAATTTAGGATGTGGAAAATCTAAAGTAACACATTTGAGTCGTGTTGATTTAATGGGACGTTCTCATGAATGGTACTCAAAAGTCTACGGTTCAATATTAACTCGATCGATGACGAAACTTCGCGATTCATTCGTTCATATAAATACAGGACCAGAAACAAAAGTCTGATTTCATTCTCTAGCTATCTATCAATTCATATTGTAATTGTACAGAATTTGAGAGTATATGTATTATGCAAATAATTCTTTTTCTTTTCTTTAAACAGATAGATTTTTTAAAATCTGTTGCATATTGTTTTGTTTTTGTATAATTCACGGATATTTTGAATGAGAGCAAAAAATAAAAATAAAATAGAATCTTATTTACTTATTTAAAAGAATACCACGCGAGGAAAACTATTGGATTGTATTATTATTTTAGTATTGATTAGATTAATTTTAAAAACATGAATTCATTTGACTTTCACTATGGATAGTATATATATATATATAGCCATCATTTTGAATAATTCATCTTCGCTGTTAACTAAGTAGTCATTCTTGATCATTCTGATAACGCAAGTTATAGCTGAATTTCATGAAGAACATCTTGAAACCTACACAAGTAATTTTCGAATGTCATGTGATTGATTTTTATTTTAAGCGTTGAACTATATAATTAATTTCCAAGATATCAATAAAATAACATTGAAAGAAGAAAAGGAAAAAGGTTTTAATTTTCATCGGTATCATCCGGTGAATGTTCACATACACTCCATCCTGACATTCTTCGATCATTCGTTGAACTCCTTCTTGCTGTGAAAGTTGATGATGGAGTTGATCGTGCAGATGCATTTTGCATTAGGATGTTTGCTGATTGCCGGTTACTAACATCGCCAGTATCTGATTGATGTATTATTGCCAAGGGTGATTGCATCGCTTGTGATAACAACGGAGAACGATTTGTTGGCCCAGGTGATCTTGAAAAGACACCAGATTCGGACATGCGTGGTGTTTTGAATCGTTTATTGTGTGCCTCTTCATCCGATAAAATTAAAGGCCTAGCAGTTGATTCATGTTCTCCAATATCATGATTATTGTCATGAATAGGTCGAAAAAGATCTCGCCGAAATGTAGCCGAACCGATTTGTGATAATATAATATTGTTTTCTATTACGGGAGTTGAATGTCGCAAATTAAGCGCACCTGATGCTGATTCGAACCAGTCATCAAGATTATCATTTGTTTTCTCTATAGACTGAGCAGATGTTTGTAATTCTAATGCATGTGGTATTGGTGTAACTGTAATAGAAATTAAAATTAAGTTTTATGTTTTTATAAAAATGAATGAACTTACTAGAAAGTTGTTGAGAATAAGTCATCGATTGATCCTCTTGTAGATTCAATATATTTCCGCATACTTTACAAACTAAATTTCCATCATCTTTTCTTGATGTTGATCGAAAATCTGTTGTATGTCGTTCACGTGCGTGTAATGTATTCGTAAGTATAGTTGTTAATTTGTGTTTTGGCCGTCCTCGAAGCCGTTGCTTTCTAGGTTGAAATATGTTCTCGTCATTTAATATTTCTTCTTCTTCTTTTGACTTGACAAATGGCTTATGTGATAATCTATCACTACTTGATTCTATGGGTACAACTTGTGATAAAATCTCGTGTTCGTTTAACCCTTGTTGTGGTTGATGTTGATATGGTTGATTTTCATCTGATTTTAAAGAAGCATCTGAATGAAAGAATTGTTCTTTGTTACGTTGAAATTTGGCTAGTTCTGCAAGTTTTTCTCGATGTAAACGACAATCATTTTCAATACGAATTTGTTGTTTATATTTAATTAATTGCAGCACAGATGGTTCGTCATGTGTTTCTGCACGTTGAAGGTCTACGTGTACGGAATCCGTTGATGCATTTGTTGTTGCTATTGTTAATGTGCTGGATTTCATTTTCGTCGGTGTAATTAACTCTTCTTCGAGTATATCACGATCTGACCGAATATCTTTTCTCAATCGAACAACTTGTTGACTTAATCGATTAGCAAAGACAAGATTTCTTATATTCATTTCTGGTGCTGGTTGTGCAATGCCAGTCTAAAAAAGTTTTTTTCAATGAAAGTTTTACTGTAAATTAAAGTTAATCATTCTTACATCTTGTTTCAGTAACTCTGTAAAAGCTGAACCAGCTGTTGGAATCGTAATACTTTCAATCGTTTGACTTTGAGTCAATGAACGACGTTCAGTTTGAATATCTATTGCACTTTCATTGTGTATATCAAAAACTGGCGAACCTATTGAATTCAATTGTAAATTATTTGCTAACGTCTTTGGAACAATACCAATATTATCTGTTGATATTTTAAAAGATTTCGGATATTTTTTTTGAATATGTTCAACTAATGCTACAGCTGGATCAGACGGCATGCGTCGAGCAAGAATTTGCGTTAATTCTTTAAATAAACTTTCGATGCAATGTTGTCGCCAATAATCTTCTACTTTAGATGTTTTCGCCATGTTTATTATCGTATAGCGTATGTTTCTAATTGAAAAATAGTTTTATGAGAATTAGAAGCCATTAATCATGTTCTATGATCTAGATTGTCAATGGAAAACCGTTACAATGACACATAGGCATGCGACAGAAATGCTCATTTTACCTGGCGACATCATTCGAGTCAAGGATACTGATATGAATTAATGTATATAGACAGACGATGGCGCCATGTGGCGATTGATGTTGTCGTGTAAAAATGTTGTTGACTTTGTCTTGATAAGAAAATTCGAACTATGAAGATCAAAATACATTTTTGATCATGGTCAATATTTTTTCTCTTGAACTATTTCTATCAAATAAAATTACAATTACATTTTTATCCGAATACTATTTTGATTGGAACGATCCAACATTATAACTTCAGTTTAGTTTCTAAACTTTGCATAAAAAAGTCGACAAGAGATTAGTAATGACATAAGGTGCACAGTGAGAAAAGATATAGGATTATTGACATTCTATTCTTAGCTTAACAAGGGATCATTCATTCATTCTTTCACTATTGATCAATCAATTTGAAGCTCCGTGTAGATCACATTTTCAATGTTTAAATATAAATATAGATATTCTGTCTAAAAGACAATTCTAACGATCACATCTAATTAATAAAAAAAGAAAACAAATAATAACAATAGACTTGAAATATAACAAAAATTTGATGAAAAATAATTAGCATAATTTTTCATTTCAACAGCTGTTATATTAGGCTCTTGTGTTTCATGACATGGTGTTGAAGTTAATTCAATCGATGTTGCATTTTCAATCAAAATGTCTTCATCAGCTTTGTTGATATTTGATAACGTCGCTACGATTTCTGGTAAACTACTGATCCATGATGTTATTGTAGTACTTATTGTTGTATTCATAATTGTTCTTGTAGTTATTGATGTTGTTGTTGTTGTTGTTGTTGTTGTTGTTGTTGTCGTCGTCGTCGTCGTCGTCGTCGTCGTCGTCGCCGTTGTACCGGTACTAGCAGAAATGCTCTGCGTTGAATTAATCACGCTTTTATGCATCGGATTAATTCGTAATAAAGTTGGGTCTTGTTGAAAACGTTGGCATATTGCTAAATTTTGATTACACATTGGATATTGACAAGTACAATGTGTAAGATTTTTTTGTTCTTGTTCACCAAATGTTAAACATTCGTAATGATACGTTAAATCAGTTTCGAGTCGTATACGACAACTACGACATTTCTTATAGATTTCAAGTGAATCATGACTTACATTTGAACCATGATAACATGAAAAATAACGTTTTGACACTATTTCATAAATGCATTGTTGGATATTTGAATTACATCTGTTTGAATTACAATAGCAATGTGTTTGATCATAACCATACAGTGGGCCATCGGGTTCACGGGCGCATTTCTGATGAATTATAGTGTCAGCATGACGATGATGGAGCTTTTTTTCATCATATAAAGATAATTCTTTAATTGATAGTTCATCATAGATAATGGTTTTTCCCAGTGAATCTATTGTATCAATCTTTTTATCGATAAAAATAACACATGCACGACAATTTTCAATTAGCTGACGAGTACCATTGATATCTTCATTACAGTATAGAGCTGTTGTGCTGATGATTTTTATCAGAGAAACTGTTAATAAAAATAATAATAATGATAACCCAATTGAATTCATATAGAAGTATGAACGAGAACGTTTTCGTCTAGGATATGTATGAGCTTACACCATATATATAGTATGACACAAAAGAAAGAGAGAGAAGACGATGAGACAGTGCAAGGAAGTGATAATGATCCTGAACTTCTCAATGTAAGATTAACATGCAGTAAGTAAAAGAAAAAGCCGAAGTGCATTGTATCCTTCTTGATCTTTTTTCTTGTCTTGTTTGTTCAAAGATTTTTTATTTGCTATGTATTGTACCTTGTCACATTACATTGCATATTTGTCTTGAACCATTTAACAAGTTATCTGTTATGTTAAAAATAAATATCATACAATGAACATTCCAATCCTTTTTCAAGGATATAGTTATCAATGAAGTCAATAGACTTTGTAAATCTATATAGCATATATCTTATTAGTACGAGATTCGCCTTCAATATGCGACTTGAAAAGTAGTTGATATATACGCTAATGGAATTTGCTCAGCGCACATTTATCAATGATCCATACGTTGTCCTTGGTCAACTTATTATGTGCCTGGCTTTCTTATACTACAAATGGCCAACCTTGACTTGTGTTAGGGAAAAAAAGAGAATATTGTTGATACTAATGCTTTGCTTTTCGCGTAAACCAAAGAAGTAGAAAGACAAAAAATTGTCGTTTCTGTCTATGAATCTGTTTTTTATCTTTTTATAGCAATATGATGATGACACATACATAGACTTCGAACAGGTGACTTAACGACGTGTATGATAGAGAGAAAGAGAGAGAAATAAAGCATCGGAATAGTTTTTTTTCTTATTTTTTCGTCAATGCATCTCGAACAATAGTACTTCAAGAACGAAGTAATGATTGGTTCATAAATGCATTTTCTTTTGTCAATGACATAGATGAGTGTTAAAGTAGTACATCAAATAGAAATGACACGATTTTCCTGTCTATTTTTTAACCACATATAAGAAGAGTTGCGGTATATATCTGTATACAGACACGGGAAAAAGAACGAAGGGCGTCGCAAAAAAAAGAGAAATCGATTGGAAGGAAATAACAAGGGAAAAGGCGCAAGGGGAATTTTTTGCTTGGTGAATGTCAAGTTATCTGTTTTGTCATCCTGCTATACATATTCTCCTGGAGGCAGTATGACGAGAAAGAAAAAGAGACGCGTTCTCTTTCTGAGAGCGCCATGCCATCGTACTGTTATCACCGTGCTGTATCAACAACAGTAGTTTCATCATCATCATCATCATCATCATCATCACCGTCGTCATCTGTAGTTGTTATTATTATTTTCTTTTTTATTATTATTATTGTTGTAGTTCTGCTCTCTGCTCTTACTATCATCGTTATATATGGCTATATATGCATTATAGAGATCTCTTCTTCTTTCATTGTCGTTCGTTCTTATTCCTCTCATATATGTGACGTGTTGATTAGTATTTTCAATACTTCTCTTCTTTTTTTTTGGTCTTTTTTCCCGTTTTTCGCAATGCATACTATTTCTCGGTCTTATACGGCACGCCTATAGTGCAATAAGTTAAGGAAGACGACGACAGCGACTGACGACAATTCCTTCCGTATTCTTCTTCCTGCAGCTCTGTTTCTCCCTGTGCCTCTCTTCGTCTTTGTATTCGTCTTTTTCTTTTTCTTTGCCTGCTGCTGCCTGAAATATGCTGCTTGTATGTGTGTGTGTGTAAAAAAAAAGAGAGAGAGAGAGAGAGAGAGAGAGAGCCCATCCAACGTGTATAACGCTCGCATTACCCAGAGCAAAAATAAATAAATAGGCACGCGCGACATAAAATCCTGAGACTACCAAGCCTTTCTTTCTCTTTCTTGTTCGTTTTCTTTCTGATCATCCTCTATCTAGGTTTGTAGTAAGCTCTTTTTAACACACGCACTCGTGTGTGATGCAATTTCAAATATTATAGATATATGAGTATTAACGTTTTTCTTTGAATCGGTAAAAGAAACAAAATATTGAGATCGACATCACAATAGTCTTCTTATTTAGTAGTAGCAGTAGTAGTAGTAGAGAGAGACAGAGAGGGGAAAATAACTCTGTATCAACAATCGACAAGCAATTATGCGTATGATCTGAAAATCCGTTAAGTTCATAGATTTTTTTCTCTAATGCTTACACTAAAATATTCTTGTCATTCTGATTGAGACCATGTAATTCATACTATGTTTTTTTTGTCTACATTGATGTTTATAGATGAGAAGAAAAAAAATAAGCGTGTCATGACTATAGAAAATAATTAATAAGTAGCAGGAAGATTTGGTTGAGATTTAGTCTTTCAGGCAGAAAAAATATAGTGTGCGTGTCTGTATTATATGTGATTTCCGTTTTCTTCTATCGATCCACTTATTCACTTATTCAGTTTATTCTAGCCTAAGCGTGCATGGCAGCATCATTGTGCATCGCCGTGTTTTGCTGTGAATCAGTCAACTTGTGAAGACGACACATCGAAAATTACCACTATTATTACTCGTCACAAAAACATCGTTGCACCGTCGATTTTCTTATTCTTCTCCTTCTTCATCCTCATTTTCTTCGTCTACAATTACTATTAACAAAAACACTTTTGTGTGACCCCCTATCATTTGTTCGTTTTCAATATTCTCCTTTTGCCATCACCGACATCGTCGTTGTTGTCGATGTTGCTGCTGTTGTTACTAAGGTTGGTTATTATTGAACGGACTCCCGGATGAGCGTCGGAGTGAATGGAGGCCGTTTTGATTTTGATGACGGCGGTACCTATTGTGGAGGATGGAATGATGGAAAAGCGCATGGACACGGTGTATGTACAGGACCAAAAGGACAAGGTGAATATTCGGGCGCATGGCAATACGGCTATGAATTTTCGGGCATCTATTTATGGGTAAATAAATATTACATTTATCTATTCATTATAATTGATAAATAATTACATATGTATCTATTTATATATTGATATTTATATTTTAGCCGTCGGGAAACTCTTATGAAGGACAATGGATGAGTGGAAAAAGGCATGGACTGGGTGTTGAAAAGAAAGGCAGATGGGTTTATAAAGGCGAATGGACACAAGGCTTTAAAGGACGTTATGGTATTCGCATATCAGAAATATCAGGAGCTCGATATGAGGGTACATGGGCGAATGGACTTCAAGATGGTTATGGCGTTGAAGTATATGCAGATGGTGGTGTTTATCATGGACAAATACAGCAAGGTCTTCGTCATGGTTTCGGTATACGACGAAGTGTACCCTATGGTTTAGCATCACGTTATCGATCGAAAGATGTACGAGATTCGTTAACGTCACTTCGTTCTGAAGATGATGAAGAACGAATACAACGTAATAATTTGTTTCTTTTTTTTTCTTGTTTCAAAAATTTCTGATAATCTTCGTTTTTCTCTCTTTTTGTTTTCAATATAAAAATAGGTGAACGAGACAGACGAATGGATGAAAATCGTGGTGGATTTGTTCTTCGTTCAAGATCAGATCCACATGATTTATCATCACGTAGTGCTAGTCAAGGTGCACATCGTGGCTCCCTATCAAATAGTGCTGATCGTCGTTCATCTTTACGTAAAACTCTTCTATCAAAATTACGTAAACAGAAATCAACCAGTGATATCGAAGATAGATCGGTAACAAAAAAAACAAGTTCATTTCGTTCAACAGCAAGTTCAACAAGTGGTGATTCAAAACATTCAGTTAAGACAGCTACAATGATATCATCACACGGCAATACACCCAATTCCACAGGTACACTTGATGATGGTGAACATTCATTTATATCTCAAGAAGATATACTTGACAATAATGTTGTTGAAACATACATGGGTGAATGGAAATCTGATAAACGTAGTGGATTTGGCATAGCTGAACGTTCCGATGGTTTAAAATATGAAGGTGAATGGTTTAATAATAAGAAGAATGGTTATGGAGTTACAACATATCGTGATGGTTCTAAGGAGGAGGGAAAATATAAAAATAATATTCTAGTAACTGACAAACGTAAACCAAGTAAATTATTTTTACTTCGTTCATCGAAACTTCGTGATAAACTCGATGCAGCTCTCAATAGTGCAATGAAGTCAGCAACAAATGCACAGCAAAAAGCTGAAATTGCAATGGCTAGGTAAAAGCATTGGTTTTTCTTCTTTCTTTTGTAATGATAAAAATAATTTTTTACTTCAGAGCAAATAATGCTCGTTCGAAAGCTCATTCAGCCGAAATTTATGCTAAACAAGCTCGAAATGATAGTGTTGAAGCTCGAGTAAGCGCAAAAACAGCAGCACCCGATTTCCGTCAACCAGGTAACTGCTATTAAAGAAAATCAAAATCAAATGAAATAATGTTTTTTCTCAGGAGAAGAAAAACCACAATCATTCATTACATTAGATATTGACCGACAAATCGATGGAAAATTAATAACTGCTAATCATACTAGTACAAATCCACCCGATTGTCGTTTACCAACATCAAGGACATTGCCACCTCATCTTTCTCAACATCAACAAAATCAAGAAGTATCCCCAGCGTTTATACTTGATGGTGGTGTTTATCAAGGTCAGTCAACGCTAACACAGCCAGCTGACTGGAATCCAAAAAGAAAAGTAAATTATTTACCTATTATATATTCATCGTATCATATTTTAAATGATTTTTAGACTATTGGCTCGCCATTGTCGATTCAACAACAACAACAACAACAACAGCGCCCTGATTATTATCAACAAGCTAACAAAACTATGTCGCCAAATATTTATAACACTGTACCCGATCCACGTACAGGTTTGCATTGAATGATTCTAAATATTAAAATATAATCAATCAAAATAAACATATTTTTTACCGATTGATTTTCATTTCATTAGTTTTGATTTAAAAATAAGTGTTACTATTTTTATTTTAAAGGAAACTCCGTGTCTAATTATTATGCTCATTCAAATCAACCATTATCCGGTGATACTTCAATGCCGGGTAATTTAGGTTATCATGACGATCGTGCTGTACATATCCCGAGTAATTTTGATTCAGCACCATCGTCATTTTCATCTCTTCCACAATTTGTACCGAATTCCGTCGGTATGGGTCCTCGTTCCGTACCGAAGCGATCAACATTTATACGAACACGTCATTTCGATACATCCACAGAAGATCTACTTCATGATCATCACCAGCAGCACCACAATCAACAACAACAACAACAACAACATAATGAATATACTTCTCAGTCACCGAATATTTATGCTCCTCAAAATATACGCCCTACATCAAATACGCGAACAATCCCAATGTCGGCAACGTCCGGAAATAATTATAATATACGACCTCCTCTAATCCATGGTGCACCGGATTCTCAAAATTCAAGTGGTCAAGATTCCGGTTTAAGCTCTGGTGGTACTAGTTTCGATCCTGAACAACATCATATATATAACTTAGGCAATCCAACAAATACAATGCGATCTATGACACCTACTGTAGACGCATACGATGTTCCGCAACCGATCCCTATACCTAAACGAAAATCTCTACCAAGTATAGTTACAACTATACCTGGTGATTATAAAACTGATGAAACCGCCCGATCAAGTGATAATTTAAAAGAAAGAGAAACATTTATTATTGAAAATGGTATACGTAAACGTGTTACCGCTCAAGCACCAGCTTATACAGAAAGTGGTTCAATTGTACCACAAGGAACTTTAATGACGAGTAGTAGTGGTTCACCAATACTTGCTCATCGTGTTATTCTCGAAAGTATTACAAAATTAGATGTACCACAATCAATTAAGAATAATACCGGTGGAAATAAGCGTGGCAGTATGCCGACAGTCGTCAATATTGCTAGACATCGACAAGAAGCCGCTAGTATATTCATTTTTTTTCTAAACTATTTAAAAATAGATAAAATATATACTTTTGTTTTTCTTCTCATTATTATTAAGGCATATCCCGAGAGGAAGCATCAATCCTTGGTTCTCAACGACGTGAACAAATACGACGTGAACGTGATTTCGATTCAACAGCTATTGGTCGTGTTAAAGCTTTATTACAGGTTTGAAAAACAAATTTGCATGTTAAGAAAATCTATGCACGACATTTTGAATACCCTTTTCTACTTAAGATAGACTACATATATATATATTTTTTTTTTGCATTTATCCTATTTTCGAGCGAAACAGAGAATAAAATAAAAAAATCTCATCTATCATTGTAGATCAGTCATCAAGTTTCTGTCTGCTTATGTTGTCTACCATTTGCAATTGATCTTTGCCTTGCGTCCTTGTATATTTCCATCTCTATCGTCGATTAGAAAAAAGTATTCCTCTCGTTGAATCTCAGTGATGTTAACTGCTGTCGATGATTAACATCGATTGGATGCATATTAACTTATATCTGAAAATATCATTAAAAGAATAATAGGCTAGACCATATGAAGAAAGATTTCTTGACTTTAATCAATAATAGACGTTTATCATGAGAAGGGAAGATCCATCAATAATTATATCTCTGAAGATAAAAACAAAATTTAGCTTTGCATGTGCATGTTTTGCAGTTTGATACTCACGCTACTGGTCGAACTATCACCGCCAAAATGCATGTATCTACCCAAGAGATATCGATACAAACGGATGATTATAATGATGGCATTCAGGTATAGAATTTCTTTTTCTTTTTAATTATAAGTATATATGCTAATTATATGACTTTCTTTTGTTCTTTTTTGTCTCTTTAGAATGTCATCTATCGAAATCGAGTGTTTATTGCCATATTTTTTCTAAATTTATCCCTTGCTCTTTGGTTTATTCAATTGTTGAGATGATATGATGATGTTTGTTACCCATTATCGTTCGTTTTTTTTTTGGCTTTTTTTCTCTTTCTCTCCATCATGTCTTCTCTTTTTTTGTGCGTATCTCTATGTATACAGCTCAAGGTTTTTCTGGCCTACTGCAACTAATACTATTTTACAGTCGATAAACAACTAACAACGAAGATCTCTTCCTTTCTCCTTTCTTCTATTCTTTCATCATATATATGTGTGTGTGTATGTATAGCAAAGAATGAAAAGATTATTGTTTTTATTAAGATACGACAATAAGATGATGATGATGCTGACGGGCGATTTTAGGATTGTTATTTTGTTGCGAGCACACCATGTCCTTTTATTTCTTATCGATGCACTTTCGTATATGACGGGGGGGGAGTTGTATAATGCACTCATTTTTTCCTATCTTTTATGCTCTCTTGTTCCTGTATGATAGACACAAACAAAAGAAAAAAGAGAAAAAAAATTGAGTTTTTCTTTTTTTTTTGCATTTGTATTTTGTTTTTTTTTGTTCAATTTGTATACCATATATACACAAGAAAAAGAGAATTATTCTCGTTTGAACAATGGTAACATAAGTAGTTTTGATATTGCTTCGATAAAATGATATTTCAATCTTGAATAGAGCGATTCTTCTGCTGGCAAAGCAACATTTCATGCAAGCCTTTTGATTGCAATCTTAGAGAAAGGAAGACGAGAAAATTACTATATTTAATATTAGCAAACGGAAAAGAGATTTTTTTATTGTCTTGTTTCTGACTGATTTCTATGTGATATTATTAAAAAAACCGAACAGCAATATATATTTTTCTTATTCTTATGACAGTTTATTACTTATGATAATATAATGCTACCATTTTGAATAGTAATTACAGATCTCTTCTGAACGTATCTCGATGGGAATTTTCAAAAAACAAAAAAATAGATAAAAATAACAGAATAATATCTAGATAAAATTGATCTCAGTTTATGTTTTGGCTTTTGTTTAAATGATTACAAAAATGTTTTTGTACAATACCGAATGTTGTCAGAAACAAAAACAAATAAAATACGAAATATTCATAGTTTAAACTAACAATAAATAATTTAGATTAATACATGAAAAACCATTAACAAAAGTAAAATTTTTGTTAATGCTCTACGAATCCCTAACTCTAATTGTGATACCTAGATAAAGATAAGAGGATTATTATTTACATAGAAGAATACACTGTCAAAAAAATACTTTTAAGTTCGTGATTAAAAGATGAGAAAATGTTTTTCTGCAGCCAACCTGTATACTTTAAATGCATCGATGATTGATACAAGCTTTAAATGTTTACCTTTTTTTTTTATCGACCAAACATATTAGAATTTTGTCACTCACTGTTTAGTATTGTAGTATTTTAGTGTCACGAATCATGGATGCTTGAAAGTTTATATTTTTTTAAATCAGATTTGATAAAGGAAGCAATTCCTAGATGAATATTTTGAATCAATATTTAATAAATTTACATTATTGATTGTTCTTATACACCCGAAAAAAAACAAGAAATTATAAACGTCGCTGTTAAATCAACATCCAAAGTTCTTTCATAGATTTCTATATTGTAAGCGCTGATTTACATTAAATAATCAATGCATGTCAAGTCTATGGAGGATAAAACGATTGTTTCCATTCATGGGAAAATATTATTCTGAAAAAATGTTTTCCTATCAATCGATGCAGGTTAAGAGCTACCTTATACAACTAATTCCGAGAGTGCAAAATAACAGCTAATATATTAGTTCTAAAAATAGAACATATGCTTTTTCTTGAGTAAGATACAATAGGAGGTCGGTAAAAACTTTAGGCAATCTTCCACAATTAATAAGTTTCAACGAACTAGAAGAAACATAGTCACTAATAGTCTTGAATTCTTTTGTAATATAGTTTTTTTTTCGAAAGAAAGAAAACCAATCTAAGTAATTTTATTGATCTGACCATTGAAAAGCAATTTCTTTAATATACATTTAGTCATGACAGGGCTTTTTTTGATCACATTTCAAACGTAGTATTGTATTCAGAAGTCGAACTAAACTCATATAAATTAGTAATTATACAGATGTTTGTCATAGTATCATAGTCTATAGGGGAAAAAATGTTAGATGATTTTCTCCTAGAAGGTTTTGAAATGTCACCAAGAAATGATAGGGTTGTTCTATATTATTCGAATAGAAAACTGCAATCAAAAGAAAACTTATTCATCGTCTTCGAGAGTAATCTTGCGCATAAGATGTTTATAAAGAAGAGATAGCATCTTTCCATCAGCGGTGTGCGCATTTTCTAATTAAATGAAGATCTGGGCTGCCATCTTGTTTACTATTTTTAGATTAATTTAACTGATAATGAAATCAACAAAACATAAAAAGGACATTTACATACATCAGCAAGATGTCATTTTTCTTTCTACGCCTTTTAAATTGATTGTATTAGTTGAGATGATCGAGCACAAGACAAATAATAGGAGACAACAACAAAAACAAATGTAGAAGAAAAAGAATTGTTGTTTCTTCTGTATCGTATGTACGTACAGTATGTAAAAGAATTATTCGGACATCCTACTACACGAATTCCATTGAGTGAATTTCTTAGTGAAGAAAATATACTTTTCAAAACTCTGATTACATCATTCGATAGGTCATTATCTCTATTTTCTATTGCATAGAAAATAGTTTTTCCATAATGTAGTTTTCATAAAATTTTGGAAGGTTTTCCAAGGCGCACTCGATTTTTCAAACAAAAAAGTTATTCGGGCACTTGTATTGTTTTCTTTCTCACAGCTCTGTTTTTCATCGAAATATTTTGAATCACGTAGCATCTGATACAGAAAAACATCGTCTTTTGACTTCACAAAAATGAAAAGCAAACTCAAAATATACCATCTAAAAGAGAAAAAACGCTGGTTCCAAATATGTCTTTTGGTTTTTTTTTAAATTTTGCAATGTTATGTGTAATAATTTATAATTCAAATTACATATTCAATACACTTCATCTAATATTCTCAATTTTCAATCAACTAAATGTATTTTTAAAATGATGTGAAATATACAGACTTATAGAACATAAAATTCTCTACAAGATGATGTTTGAATGCCCGATAGCTGTTTTCCTTAGACATGATATACACCTATCCATAGAAATAGAATTTATTGAGAAGAAAGAAAAACAAATGTTTTTCGTTCTGTTCCTTTCTCGATATAATATATGACGATGATAACGACGGATGAAACTGAGCAAAATTGAACGTGATTGGATAGGTAGGTGTAACATCGTGTCTAAGGAAAATAGCTATCGTACATTCAAGCGCATCATCCTATAGAGAATTAAATTCTCTACAAGCTTGAATAATTTAAATACTTTTGTACTTCAATTTAGTTGTCTAAAAATTCAGAATATTAGACGTGCTGAAGAAAATGTTAATCATAATAAATGATTATTACGTTTAATATTCGAGAATTTCGAAAAACCGAAGACATATTTGGAACCAGCGTTTTTTTATTTTTCAGATGGTATATTTTGAGTTTGCTTTTTCATTTTTGTGAAGCCAAAAGACGATGGTTTTCTGTAAAACCTATGGTGTTTCCGGCACCGAGAATATTTCGGCATGATCTTAACATCTTTTTCAATTTTTATACATACCAGCGTGTAGAGAAATGTTTTCTCTATCTGATGCTATGTAAAATTAATTCAAAATGTTTCGATGCAAAACAGAGCTGTGAGAAAGAAAACAATACAAGTATCCAAATAACTTTTTTGTTTGAAAAATCGAGTGCTCCTTGGAAAACCTTCCGAAGCTTTATGAAAACTACATTATGGAAAAACTATTTTCTATGCAATAGAAAATAGAGATAATGACCTATCGAATGATGTAATCAGAGTTTTGAAAAATATATTTCCTTCACTCAGAAATTCACTCAACAAAATTCGTGTAGTAGGCTGTCCGAATAATTCTTTTACATACTGTATATCGATTAGAAGTGAGACATTTGTTTAGGTAAAGCTGCGGACACTCGGAAGCCCACTTTAATCATGAATGTCAATAATATCGCGCAAGTACTAATTTCAAATCATGAATTAGTATGTAAAGTAGAAATTATCGAAAAAGAAAACCGAGAGTTTTCACAAGAGATGAGTTGTAATGTCATAAATACAAATATAACGACAGTCGGTAATGTTCTATTCGTTTGCTCCGATGAGTAGAATGATTTAATATTATACAAATAAAATTTTGCAAATCAGTCTTATTAGCGAAAATAAATCTGATGCTTGTTCTTTTGTTAATATTAATTATTGATGAGATTTCAATCGAGTAGGCAGATTCAATAGCAGCTCTTTTCTGTCACTCGTGTTCGCATGTGCGTATATGCATGTATACAGTTAAGTTTTCTTTCTCCTTTTTCTTCTTGTATGTCATTTGTTGTATCAGCGCCATGTACACAATTGGAATAATTACAAAATGTTTCTTTTGTATCAGGAATCGTACGCTACAAATCTTCGGCTAGATGAAAAAATATCAGTAATATCTGCTGACAGCAAATATCACGAAGAAAGGAAAACACTGCATGTGTAGTAAAGCTTATTCAACAGTAAGGAGTGTATTTTATTTAACTGACGTTTTCGGAATGCGTTGTAGCAAAAGAATATTGTTAAGTATCGAGGGATCGACGGCTACGCAATTTTACGTCTCAGGATGAACTGTAACGAGTCTTGAAAATTAGATTAATTATATGCTTAGATTATTTTGACGTGAAGTTAAAGATAAGCAGTTTATATATATATATATATATATGAGTGAATTGCGCTGACATTTTACGGTTTGAAGAAAAACATCGAAAAAAAAAATAAGCAGAGGATAGATTTGACCCGTGCATTCGATAGAGCCTTATTTGTTGTATATGAGTCAACTATTTTCCCCACTGTCAGGGTTTTCATTTCAGAAAAAATTGAGATCTCAAAATATATGAAAGGTTCGAAATTTCTTGACAAAAACAAATTATGAGTAAAATGTTTTTACATGGTTATCATATATGAAACGAATCATTTTCAATCGGGGAATCCAAGAGGCATGCGCAGAATTTTACTCGCATGTATTATTCATGCATTTTCGAGAGTGTGATGCGATTGCTATTATTAAAAACGCATATTTTTTTTAGAAACGCGCTTTATAGCTAAGTTCTTTTTAATATTGTTTCGCGATAACATTGAAATGTCTAACAATGTCTCTCAGTCGAGAGGAGTCGGTAGAAGTAAAACAAGATGAAATAATAGCATATTTTCTCTGAATATCTATCTTTTTAATCTGTTGTGATATTTTAATACAAAAAAATCTATTGTGACATGTTTTCAGTAAAATGCTGTTTTCTTGCGAACGACACTTAGTGAACAGCTCAACTTTTTACCATAAATGTACCATATACTCAGTCAAAATGGTAAAAAAAATCATTGATTAATCTCTTATAGTTAGCGAAAAATCAAAAGGTTAAAATAAGAAATCTGTCGTGACATTTAGTGCGGCAATAGCTACCAATCTGTTTTATTTTTACTTTTTTGTTTCATCGTGAACATTTTTTTAATTTATTTTTTTATCAAAGTATTTCTCACTCTTTGCTCTATCAAACATAAAAAAGAAATTTGAGTTAGCTTGTAAGTAGTCTTTAGTAGTTACAATTTAATCTGTTGTGACAAAAAAAGGTCAAAGTGTATGTTTTCATATGTTTGCAAGATTTGACCAGGAAATTAAAATCGAAATTAAGATTACTTTATATGGTTAAAAAGAGGAGAACCTGAGCTGCCAACTTCTGTAAAAAAATCTATTTATACAGTCAGAATTGTAGGATATAAAAAGAAATTTCAGTCGATAGATCCTGTCGAATAGCTTTCGTAATGATCTTTTATACTTGAAAAATCCTTACCATGCAAATAAAAGCCTCGATAATTGTTAGTGAGTAGGACGACCTGAATGGAGCATTTCAACAAAACAATTGTCCAAATCGATTGAGTAGAAGCTGAGTTATAAGATTTTTCGTGTTCACAGAGCAACCGTATAATGTCAGCGCAATTCACTCATATATATATATACATCGGTTTTTCTCATTATTAGTACAAATATTAGAGAATCTAATCATTTCAGATGCTTCTACTCGATCGTATTCGAAATATATCTCTAATATGTCTAACAGCGTTTGGATGTGCAGGAAACATACTAACATTCATTATTGTCAATCGATGTTTCTTTCGTAAAACATCATCGTCAGCATTCATCTCCGGTCTATGTATTGCTGACAGCATGGTGTTATGTTTACTTAGTTTTCAAGTTATCGGAAAAATGTATTCACCAGTAACATCATACGATTGTGGTGTTTTCTTTTTTCTGGATGTATTTCGTCTTCTATCTGTTTGGATTATTTGTTTTATAAATTTGGAACGGTGTTCACTGGTATTTAATCCATGTCATATATCACGGTTAACGAGTCGGAAAAAAGCATATATATTTGTCATAATATTATTTATCATATCATTAATTATATTTAGTCATTATGCAAAACACATGAATATAGAGTATACCTATAGTACTAATCAAACAATGCCTATTCGTTCAATTTGTGTGTTTAAACCAAAATTTCATCGTGTAGCATGGGAATGTATACGATCAGCATTAACATATTGGTTAACAGTTCCAGTTTGTATTATTTGTAATATTATTATTATAAAATGTCTTTATCATGCATCACGTTTTCAACGTACATCATATAATAATTTTAATGAAACATTAAATTTATCAAGTAAACAACGACAATTAACAGGAATGCTTGTAACGTCATCTATATGTTTTGTTTTAACTGTAACACCTTCAACAATACATTCAATTTATTTAGCAATATCGAAGAATTTTGCTGGACAACAATATATCATACATGTATTGACAAATATTCTTCTTCATTTTCATCATGCATCTAATTTTTTAGCTTTCATTTTTTCATGTTCACGTTTTCGCGTAGAATTGATTGATTTTTTTCAGAAAATTTTTTGTGCTGGAATATTTGAAAAATGGCACAAACGTTCAACAGCTACTACAGAACAAATGTATGTTTATTCAACCAGACATCAAAAAACACCAATAAAATTGTTTACATCAAAGTCAAATATGCGCAAACGAAATAATCAAAATGGAATTGTAGTGATAACAATGAATAACTTTAATACAAGACAAGGAAAAAATCATGGGCCTGGTCGAGAAGCTTTTTATAAATAAAACTCTTAAGTATTTCTTTTTGTTTCAATTGGGGATTCTTTAGAGAAAATTTAAGAATATATTTTGTTTGTAATTGTGTTTGTTTAGAAAAATGTAGTGCGCAAATCTATTTTTCGATGTTATGCGAATATTGTCTCTTAAATCACACATAGCACTTTTGTATGTAAATGATTTGAAACAGGGATGTAATCTATTTTTCTTGTTTTGGACAATCAAATTTAAATAAATCAGTCTAATGTAAAATAATAATTATAACAAAATGACTTGTCTTTGTTTGCTTTAATTATCCAAGAAAATATTGGAAACTTACAGAATACTAAAAACAGTTAGAATAACTCTGTCATACTTTATTTTCAGCGAGTTCAATGCGGTATTCTGTACATGTTTACACGCACGAATAGTCTAAGCAATACTCTAGATTTGTATAAGATTTCATCATTGTTTAGATGTTATGATAGAATCAGAATTCTGATGAAACTTATTTTCTGTTGATTGATAGAAAAGAAAAACTTGTTTTTGTCTCCACCGAAGCCGGTACTATATTATATTTTGTTTTCTGACACTATTATATTCTAAATCTCATAATAGTTGAAATATGATATGAGTGATTTGGTGAAGGTCATGAAGATGCGGTAGAAACCGGTGGATCTACAATCGAATAACATCTGAAAGATCAAACGAATCTATTGTGTCGTTAATGATGATCCTTATTGTAAAATTGATGCATTGAATGAAGTGCAAACAGATCTGAACCATAACATCATCCTTAGTGCAATGTCCTATCATCGTGAACTTCAACAAATTACTACGTGTTGTTGATCGAAACAGCTGACGCTAAGGGCGAAGAAGAAAATTGTGATCATAATAACGCATTGTTTAGATAGCTCTTCGTCTTCAACTTTATCTCATCCTTGATGACAAGCACACATGCAGTGTTTCCATTGTTATTAGAAAGAGAGTTTAGTCGTGGGCAAGAAAATATAGCACAGTACGCCTTTCAATCTAGAAGCGAAAGTTTTTCTTATCTATCTAAATCGACGACAAACAGCTTTCATCAAACATCTCATATCATCCGTAGCAACTGAAGATTGTCGAAATATTTTACGATTCCAAAACACTCTTTAAGCAATAGATATTTGTACTTAGGAAGAAAACATTTCCTTAAGCATTCTCTACGATATAGCTGCTTTTTGAAGATACCACAGTAATCAGTTAGGCGTGCTAGAGAAACTACCAAATAAATAAGTTGTACAAGTCGAATTGAAGGATTCTTATTTAACGTTGTTGTTGTTGTTGTTGTTGTTGTCATGAAGTGTACGTGGTAGAGGCCATACTAATAGTTTAGTTTTAATGAAACCAAGGACTATGATGAGATAAGCTTTTATTTCTATAATTATACGATGACAAAGAATTCCTTGCTTTTTCCAATATGTCAGCGTAAAAGACGAGAGGCTATACGCGTGGAACTTGTACTAAGTGACACTTCAAGAGTGCTTTGATATTTATGGAGTCTTACAACAAAATAAAATTGGAATTGAGAAAATAATTAAGCTGAAAATAGTGGAGTTCTAATGTTATCGTGTCGATCAAAAATGGTGCTTTGTTCTAACAATGGAGGTGTTTCAGATGATAAGCAAAAACGTTGAAGTTTTTTATGTCAAATGAAAGCTCTCATCATGAAACTAACATGGTTAAAATATTAGCGGCTGTTGGCGTACCCTTATGGAGATATTCGATTTTTCAGTGGATTTTCTTTACAGGACCGACTTTCCCAGCAATATCATATTCTCGAATTTGAACCTGAAACTTTGTATGCATGAAGGTCTCAAAGAGACTAGCTTATAGAAAAAAACATCAGAAGGTTTGGACAAACCCTCTTCGAGATATGAATCTCTCAAAATATAGACAATTTTCTATAGAAGCTGTATACTTGAGGCATCTATATTTCGAAGAGGGTTTNAGAGGGTTTGTCCAAACCTTCTGATGTTTTTTTCTATAAGTTAGTCTCTTTGAGACCTTCATGCATACAAAGTTTCAGGTTCAAATTCGAGAATATGATATTGCTGGGAAAGCCGGTCCTGTAGAGAAAATCCACTGAAAAATCGAATATCTCCATAAGGGTACGCCAACAGCCGCTAATATTTTAACCATGTTAGTTTCATGATGAGAGCTTTCAGTTGACATAAAAAAAACTTCAACGTTTTTGCTTATCACCTGAAACACCTCCATTGTAAGTAGATAATAACTGAATAATATAAAACGTGACTGAGCTATGGAAAAAAGTCTCCTGTTATCGTCGAAATTGTATTTGAAAAATTTAAAATAACTACTAACTTTGAATTTTGTGATTCCAAAAATAATTCTATAACTTCGGTCTGATTCAAGAGATTGGTTTTAAATAGTATTACGTGTACCGCTACTTCTCCACACTCCCGAATAACTTGATATACCGTATAGTGGTAAATGCACGCTATTTTACTGACGTTTGTCTTTTATCATTGAACTTTGTACATTGTTTCTAATGGAAACACTTGTGAGACTACATCATTCTTTATCAAACGAGCTAGTAAAATCTTATTTTCGGTCGGTAACCTTAGTTTGTTTTGTACATATTTTTGAATGTATACGTATCATGAGTGTAACACTTGAGCAGCACAATCCTTAGAAGATGCAATGGCTTCTGAATCGGCATTTATCGCCTTCACTTCTAGGATAAAAGTCATGAGAAAACTTGGAAATTTAAATTCAATACCTCATTACAAATCGTCATTCTATCTCTATGAATCAATAATTTGACGAATAAAAATGTTTAATGCAGCAACTGATCTAATTTATGCATACGATCATATTTTGTAAGAAAAAATAAAATGAGTAAGAAATAATGAAATTCAATCCCATACACGTTTAATATTGATATGAGCCGTTTAAATGCAAAGCAATCATTTGTAATCGTTGCATGCATAACAAGTCTGTACACTTGATGCTATAAACAGCAATAAATTCAATAGAAAAACAAAAATCGTCAGTTTGTGATTTAATACGGAATTTATACTCATATTGGCAAGAAAATAAGATAATACAGAGCTATACACATTATTTGTTAACTATTAAAATCCTTTTTTTGGGTTTTTTTCTTACTCAAACAAAATAAAAATCTTTCTTCCATTTCTCAAGGACGCACAAACATAACTCGTGCTTAAATAAAGTTTTTCGAATTTCCATATTTATTCATAGAATTTTTTTCATTGAATAGCTTTAACATTATTATCAATCAAATTGTGCTTTTACAATTACAGGTGGCAAAGAGAAAACACACGTTGACGACAAAACTAGTCTCCTCATATAAGTTGAATAACGGCAGCAGGTGCATAGTTTTTTTTCTGTTTTTATTGACTGATATTTATACCACCTATAACAGCGAAAAAGAACGGTGAAAAAAGCCGAGCCGAAAAATGCGCCTGACGAACAGAAATGACGGTGGCGAAAAAGAATGATAAATTTTCATTTATTGCCCGACTATTCAATTTTTGGTCATGGTTCGTCGCTTTCAATTTCGATCGATAACCTGTATTCATCTACTTTTAGTTTATTAAAAACAATGAAAGCATCTCATAGCGATCATCATTTATATGCAAGTTATGTATCAACTTTAAAACACGATGATGAGAAGAATGATCAAGAAGATCAGGATGCAGTATCTTATGCAAGTGTAAATCTTCACGTATCCTCAAATCTACGTTCAAATCTTCGAGGAGCATCAGTAAAACGTTCAACAAATACTGTTAATAATCATAACATTTCAAATGGTAATAAACTGATTATAAATGGATCTTTATTTGATGGGCAATTATTTCAGCCAGTACGCTCATCGTATATACTGGATTATCGGGATACGCCACTTGACTTAAATCAATTTTTGGAAGGTCACAATATGAAACTAAGGCCATCACATTTAGATGCCCATTTATTTAAACTTTCATTTATTATAACATTATCAGAAGAGCATGTTGATAAGGAACTTTTGTTAGATTATTGTCCGCATGACGATAGTGAAATAAATGTGGTTGAGCAAATGTCATTTTATAAAAAGTTTTGTTTTCCAGAATTAAACTGTAAACAGAAAAATGAAGGAACATTACTTAATGAATCATCGACATATATATTTACACGAACGAATTCAAAAGGGCAAGTTGAATATGGATATTGTCGACGAATCATTCGTAATAATGATCAAATAATCAAAATACCGGTTGTTATTTGTATAGGTTTGTATTTATTTATTTTTAAACTGATCTTTGTTATAGTGTTCTACTATCTTTTAGTTTCGAATTATTCATATTTCAAACTCTACGATGCAATTCTTAATGAATTAGCTCCAGGTAAAACTTAGATCAAATCCTAATCATTCATGAGCCAAATAATGATATTCATTTTTGTTTGTCACTTTACTAAAAATATTTATCTCAATTGAATCCTCTGTTGATAGTTGAACTCTACTATAATCCTAAAATCAAATGATCAACTATTTTTTATTGATTACATTCGAAATCGAATGTTTTTTAATTGATTTAATCTATTTTTTCGTTTTTAGTCAAAACAACAAGGTCTCTTCGCAATTGCGATTATAGTTATCACGCTCTATACGTTTTTGACCTTTCGCCATGACTATCTAATATATGAACTATTGACAGCACTAAAATAGTTCCATATTCATTCGAGAAATTTTTGTGTCTCAGTTAAAACCAAGACTTCGAATATAAAAACTAATAACTTGCCGATCATAAAATGACATTTAGCATTAGATAGCCGAAAGGTTTTTTATGAATTTTGAAAGTAAGCCGTAAAGGAATAATAAGAAAAAGACATTGAAAGATACTCCATTTTTTAGAAATGATATGTAAATCAAATTCGTTGTGTGCTTTCTATTATTTCTGAGAAAAATTTTCATATTCTTACTATATATGGAATGACCTAGAAGCATTGAGACAGTAGCTGCAGCACTGTTCTGTATTGTTTTTATTTATTATTTGAATGCTACAATGAACAAAATAGAATCCATAACATCATTGTCGGATATTTGTTATTTGCGAATCATTTCACTTGTATGGAATACATATTTTTATCAGTACATGAATGAATTACAAATACCAAATTGTAATCAACATAATTAGAACACTAAGTATTGAATACGTGATAGACAACTTTATTTTTCCAGTAGATAAAATTTTTTTTCAATTCTAATGATTCATTTTACTTTAACACTATGATCAAGAGAATCATCATTATTACTTTTCTTTTTCGAAGTGCCTAAGATATGTTGCTTTTATGTCATATAATGCACTGTATTAACCTTGCTCGACACAATGCTATGCATCTATAGTTGTTTGTATATAGTTTTACACATTTCATTGATTTGCTTCAGCTAAAAAGTTCAGATCAAATAAGTTCATGAGCTTTTAGCTAATATTCTTTTCAAAGCAATTGATCTACGTGAGTAGTTCTTTGGGTAGAGCTTCGTCCCAGGAAACAGTTCACGAGGCTGAACTGTTCCAAATATTATTGTTCTTAAAGTAGAGTAATTGTATTCTGCTTTGAGAATTCCTCTATTAATAACAACATAAAATGGTATTCTTTAGGGAATAAAAAATTGTTCGGACAATTTATTTCTCAGAATGATTTTCAGACATCAGTTTATTTAAGAAAAACCGGAAGCATATATCAGGTTCTATAAAAAAAAAAAGAAGGTTTTTGATTAGATCCTAAGATTGAAATAATTACCAAAATGTCACATCTTTTTGGTCAGATTAATCTACAAAAATTAAAACAGAAAAATGGTCTTGTTACACATTATTGTTGTTGTTACTTGTGGGTACTTTGGAAGTATGTCTTTTCTTTCTTCGATTCATGCTTTCATAAAATTTGTTTCCAACAAACTCATCTTTCAATGAATAGAAGAAATAAATTGAATTTTTCTATTTTATCATTCTAGCCTATATATCCGATGAGTCTGAATGTAATCTATTAATACAATCATTCTATTCAAAACCGCTACCTATTCCAACTATTGATTCATCAGGGGTTGCCTGTATATTGAATGACCGTCGTGTATTTTTTTACGTTTGCCCAACTGATGATCGTCTTAATCATGACTATTTTTCTACATTACTCTCTTGCCTATCACCAAGTAATATAACTCATTTACTTGAATCAATGTTACGCTCAAAACGAATTTTATGTTTTTCAAATTCACTTTCAAAATTAACGAAATCTTGTCTTGCACTATCGCTTCTAATGTATCCATTTATGTGGCCTTATCCATTTGTCTCCGTCATGCCATCATCATGGCTGCACGATTTACTTGATTCACCATGCCCATATATATATGGTTGTTTATACGAGACAAAACAACAATTACCAACAGCAATAGAAAAAGATTCATTATATGTTGACCTTGATTTAAACACAATAGATGTGGGTATTGATGATGGTTTTGTTTTGCCACTTGATCTACGACAAATATTACAATCGTCACTCGAATATTTAACCAGATTTCGTTTGATTAAATCAAATTTAAATTTAATTAATATTGCTGTTAGCGAAGCATGTTTACATGTATTTATTGAATTATTTCATCGACTACCAAAGTATTTTAAACGCGATCAACTGTTTGCAAAAGTATCCGACAATGAACAAAAGTTTCCAACGGATTCAAAATCATTAAAACGTGAAGATAGTGGAATTGATCTTCAATCAGTTGCATCAAATGATATTCAACAAGAAATAAAAAAGGTTGAATATAAAAAAGAAGAAAATCATCTTGGTTATGATTTTCGATCTGATGAATTTCTTATTGAACAACCAACGTCGGCCTATGTTGGGTTTCTCAATGATTTTATTCATGGTAAAGAAAATATGTTTTTTTTGCCCTATTTTACTGATTGAGTCTAATATATTTTTCTTCAAATCGATACTTAATGTTTCAAAAGTAAGAAAGAATAATTATCTAAATAGAAGAAAAACAACAAGCCTCTTGCAGTTTTACTACATGAATACTGACTGTGAAGTTTAGTCTTTACAAATCATAAATAATTGACTCTGAAATCCCTCAAAAATAAAAGCTAAGAATATGATGTTATTCTCAAGTATCAATGATGTCTATTTTTCTTGCATGATACAATGTTGTTATCTAAGCATGAGATCAAAGTCAAGGCTTCGAATAGGACGCTTGTCTTCGCTTACTAGTACTTGACCTTGAATATAGGCAAATATCAAACGTTTTTCTTTGAAAACTTCAACAAAAATAAAAAAACTTCTATCAATTCAGTAAGAATACACAAACTTGTAGAATATTCAATTATTTTTTGTTTTCTTTTTATTGGAGAAATTTGTAGATTGATTGCTGTTTTCACTCGAGTGTTGTTCAAAAACAATCAATAATAATTTATTGAGAACCTACTTGACATATTGTGTTATATTATTTTCTTTTAATTAAAACAAATCGTTTTATAAGCATTCGAAATAAAAGGATATTTTTTTCATGTTTTTTTTAGGAATGATTTTTCTTAAATTTCTCGATGATTATCAACGTAGTGATAACAATTCTGAAAAATTATTTTCATTATTTTCTCAACGTTTAAATGAACGTAATCGAATGTCAAATGATGAATTATTAATAAATCCTGCTCTGCGTTTTCGACAAACATTTGATTTATTAGAAAAACAAATGAAATTTTCATCGAAATCAACAAATTCAATTATATCAAAATTTTTAAAAAGATTTTTTTGAATTTAAAGATTTTCAAGTTATAAATAATGTCATGTGTTAATTGATTTTTTTCTGTTCTTAATAAATCTGATATGTGTTACTATTATTATTGAATATTTGCGTAGGTTTCATGGAGTATTAACAGGTTACTGTCGGAAAAAGAATAAAACATAATGCAGACTCAAAGACTCAGTTAATCGAGAAATAAAATATTGTATAGATGCTGCCAATTTTGCATAAAAGAAAAATTTATTTCTGGACCAAATATTAACTGTGTATTGAAAAACAGACGGGATTTGCCTTTGTACGATTGACACACGCTTCTGCCGATTTTCTTTCTTTTCCGTTCCTTCGATAACAAAGCAGGACAATCACCCTGATTAACATATTGATCGAACGTTATTTCTCGGTGATTTTTCGTCTCTGTCGTCTTTTCAATGCTTGCATAGAATGGTGAGTAATGCTAATAGCTCTAAGACAAGGAAAAGACTTCTAGTTATTTATATTGATCGATTGATTGCAAGACATCAACTTCGATCAACTAATAGGTTCAATCACTAATAAATTTCAATTCATCGTTCTCCGTACCTCGAATGGCTTTTTGTCTCTTAGTTCTATTTAGCTCATACTACCGCCTAAACATACAGACTATGAATGGCGGTAACACGTAGGAGTAGGAGAGAATAGAGAGAAAATCAGAGAGAGAGAGAGAGAGAGAGAAAGAGTAAAAAATCGATTAAAGAAAAAACTATGTTAAAAAGACACATATAGATCGAGCACCTAATTGTCCGTTCATTCTTAATCAAGGACGTTGTTTATATATGTTTAGCAAGGTCTCAAGAATGAAGCTAGAATCAGATAGTCCCTATTTTCGTTTATTATTATTAAAAAAGCGTAGTTAGACTAACATATTAGATCGCTTTATCCACATGAGCATAAGGTAAGATAAAAAGAAGAAATTCAAAATGGGTTACCTAGTTTTTCTGTTCTCATATGAAAAAACATGACGTACTTCAAATAATATAAGAATCGTATAAATCATTATCTTAATGGACTGTCAATGACAGTTTGAATGCTATCGATTAATTGACTTTAAAATAAATTGTAAGTCATTTATCTTATACTTCATATTCAATTTCAATTAGTTCTGAGAAGATATTACTCATGAAATCCCGAGAGAACGAAAGGTAAAAATGGTTGAACTCGATCTAATCACAATAAGAAATTGAATTAAAAGGTTCATTATTTTTTAGAGTTAGAAAAATCTCGAAAGATAACTTATCACTGTTTAATGCATCAATACTCTAAGGTGTTCATGTTCCCGCACTATTGATGAATTTTCTTCCGTTTAGATTAGTTTTTTTTCTCTCTTTTTCTTTTTACTGAGTAATATAAATGTTTTAGAATATTCGTACTCATTTCTATTCCACATCACTTTTCAATATTTGGAATTTGTTTTTTTCTTTATCAATTTCTATCTACTATTTGAAACCAAAAATACAATATGCAACACCAATCATTGATCGTATATGTATTTGTCGCACTTTTTGCTATGACAATAGTTTTGGCTCAAGCTAACAAAGAACGCGAACAATTTGCTGATCTATTACAGAAACGAAAACATCTCAATGGCTATTGGGTAGGCAAACGATATATTCTTGCATCGGATGAAGATCCATCATTTGATAGTGGTAAGCAAGTTCACATTGTTTTTATTTTCTCGTCACTTTTTATTCTTGTAGAAGAAGACCTTTCAGCTGGAAAACGAGCATCCTATTTAGTGGGCAAGCGTGGTACATATTTGGTTGGTAAACGTGCCTCGTATCTGGTCGGACGTAAACGACGTGATCTGATGGCTAACAATAATTTACAACAATAAACATTTACCAAATATTGTATACGTAATAAATTTATTTATAAAGAAAAAAAGAAACTTTTCTTGTGTCTATTGCTCAACAGCATTGGAAACAATGAAAGGATTTATTTTTGTCTCTTAATTATTTCTAATTTATACAATTAAGCTTTGGGAAAAAAATATTTACGTAAGATTCTTAATCTCCATAGTAGATCTATATAAGATTGTTTCATATAAAAAACAATAATAAATTAAGTCTGACATATTAATGTAAACTGTATTTATCCGTAACGGTATCCATGCAAATTCAATTGCTCTCAAGGGACATGCACGTCTTGAACATTTAATCAAGATAAATCATTGTTTTGACAGTAAAGCATTCAAGACCAAAGATCTAACCTGTTTTTCAAAAAATATGACTATATTCAATTAGTTTTAATCATGCTCATTTTTCAAAAATGTTTTTCCTGATATTTGATCAATCATTAAATTGGTTAATACAATGTGTTATGCTCGATAGAATAAATAAATCAAAGATACTAATTGAAGAAGAAATCAATCATATATATCATCTTTTAATAGAGTCATCTTTTAAAGTATTCTTTTCTTTTTGATAGAAAATAAAAACAAATCTTTATAATATTCAATTGTAATATCAAGTATGATAGTGAAATAAATATAATAACTATCTAAGAAAAGAAGTGCACTTGTTGTTCGTCAATTTAGGTTTTTTTTATTTATGCGAATACGTGCATATACATATGAACTGTTTACTAATGTGCTATTTTATTTATAATTCGATTCATAAACTTCATTTCATTATTATCAATTTCCTCGATTTGAATATTTTTTTGCTTTTTGCTTTAATTATTTAAAATGATGCCCATTGTGACTACTTTATTGTTTAGTGTAAATGTCATTCGTTATTTCTATATCTGATTGCTGGAAAGAGACATTTCAATAATGGTGTATAAATATTTTATATTCATGTATCTTCCCACTGAAAAATAATCATAAAAAATGGCGTAGAACGCGTTCCAATTTCACAGAAATGTTTTTTTTCTTAAAAGCAATTTTTCATCTTTTCGGAATCTGTTTCATACCGTTCTCGTTTAGAAATGTTGAATAACGAATTCCACCATCTAACGGAATCTTTCTCGGTCAATTCTGTAAAAAATTAGCTCGTTTTACGGACCGCTTTTTTCCTAGAAAACAGCTACCGTTTTTAACACTATATTCTTCGTTTTCTGAGCTAATGGAAAACGGCGCTGTTTTTCAATGTTTTTACGCTGTTTACGGCATTTTACGCACCGTTTTCTTGAACATGCGTAACGAAATAAAAAATCACGTAAGTCAAATAGAATAATAAAATGTATAACAAATTTGAAACAGAAAAAAAGATGAATTCGAGGTAGCTAGGCAATCCTGAAAAAACTACGGATTACTGCGAAATAAGGTGAAAATTAATGCGTTATTATACCGTTTTATAGCCGTTACAGACCTTTTAAGATGCTCATTCAGGCGGTCGGAATGCTTGTCCTGAGTGGCTGATTTTTACTTGTCGCTCCTTCGGAGCTGGGTTCATACTGACCTATCTATGCTTTTATGCTATTAGACTATCTTGTTCTGATAGTTAGTGTAGTGAACATACTATTGGAGTTGAACAAAATATTATAATCAAAACATGTAAGGTTTCATTTTAAACGTTCACTTCCCTTCATATTTAACAGAAAAAAGATAAAAACTTTAGTTTTAGTCTCTTGCTTTTAAAATTACAATAAGCAGTTATTACATAAAAAAAATATTTATCTTAATATCTTAAAACAATCTATGCTTACATATTAATATGAAAAAATCTGCTGTACGGATTAATATGTATTCTTTTTAAATATAAATATATATACTTAAAATTTAAATGCAATATTCAAAAAAAAATTTGATCAGTTAGGCAAATATTTATTGAACTACTTTTTTGCAAAATTATTCTCAACAGAAATTATAAAATTTCTTTTTTCATATCAATTGTACAAGGCACATCCTTGCGCTTTTAAAACTTACTATTCGACCCAGAAACTAACAATATGCTAGCTATCTACTATCAGTACTGCGAAATAAGGTGAAAATTAATGCGTTATTATACCGTTTTATAGCCGTTACAGACCTTTTAAGATGCTCATTCAGGCGGGCGGAATGCTTGTCCTGAGTGGCTGATTTTTACTTGTCGCTCCTTCGGAGCTGGGTTCATACTGACCTATCTATGCTTTTATGCTATTAAACTATCTTGTTCTGATAGTTAGTGTAGTGAACATACTATTGGAGTTGAACAAAATATTATAATCAAAACATGTAAGGTTTCATTCTAAACGTTCACTTCCCTTCATATTTAACAGAAAAAAGATAAAAACCCTAGTTTTAGTCTCTTGCTTTTAAAATTACAATAAGCAATTATTACATAAAAAAAATATTTATCTTAACATCTTAAAACAATTTATGCTTACATATTAATATGAAGAAATCTGCTGTACGGATTAATATGTATTCTTTTTAAATATAAATATATATACTTAAAATTTAAATGCAATATTCAAAAAAAAATTTGATCAGTTAGACAAATATTTATTGAACTACTTTTTTGCAAAATTATTCTTAACAGAAATTATAAAATTTCTTTTTTCATATCAATTGTACAAAGCACATCCTTGCGCTTTTAAAACTAACTATTCGACCCAGAAACTAACAATATGCTAGCTATCTACTATCAGTACCTAAAAAATGTGGCATAAATGAGCGATTATATTATTCATGTATGAGGCCAAGCCAAAATGTACTTGTTTTTTAAATTCTTAGCCCGCTCTATTATTTCTCGAAATTAAAATTATTCTTGTACATAGAATATATATCGAAACAGATATGATTTTATGCATAAGTTTTAGTATTTATATTTATCAAATGAATATATACGTATATATACACGTATGTACATTTGAAAAACGTAGAATGGTATAGAACGCTTTCGTTTCTTTCCAAGAATGATGTTTAGTGATTTGGAAAGCATTCATTACTTCCAAGAGCCCATTCTTAGGTATTCCGTTACAGAACATGAGAGAACGCGATCTCCTCAAAATGGAACTCAATCCTGACCTTTCCCAAATAGAATAACAAGAAAACTATTCTGATTGTGAATGGAAAGGATTAGGAGACTTTCTATTCTGATGAAGAAAGATTTTTGAGCTAGGCAGAAAACATTCCATAATAGTTTGAAACGTTGAAGAATGCATTCACTCAGATGTTGAACGAGTTCTTCTCAGTAATGAACACATTCGTCAACTTATAGAACGCGTTCTTCATGAAAAATATAGCTTTCTCTATTCTGACGAATGCGTTCCTTTCCGTTTTTCTATGATTATTTTTCACTGAGTTGATCATGTCAAATCGATCAATATGGTGACAAGAAAATCTTTGACGGTGAGGTGCTGATGGCCAAGTATGTTTCTAGGGAATTAAAAAGTATTGTCCAATTTTAGAGTAGAGCTGGAGAGAATATATTCCATAGTTTTAGTTAGCTTAATTGTTAAACCTTTCTTTAGTCGTAAATCAAACAAATCTTATTACTTTCAGCGCATAAACAGGCCTGAATAAAAATTTTAGAGCAGAAAAATGTCCCATGACATTTTTTTCTCAACTTAAAATAATGCTATTGGCAAAAAATATATATAGAAAAGATTTGAACATTATTGTTCTCTTTTAAATTTTGAGGTCATAGAATGTAACTATTTTGATCATAGTGTAACTATTTTTTGTTTGCAGTGACTTTTATGCATGAGTCTCAGTGTCCACTAAAAGACAATTGTGAATGATTCGAGTTCGATTATTTTCTGTCTCTATCCTCTAGAATTATTTTACTCTATAAAATCAGATGTTTCTCATGTATGAAATGAACGATTTATATGATCGACTAGAAGTGATTTGAAAAATCTGAATATATTCCAACTATTTTCTTTTTGAAATTGTGAATAAAAACAACTTCTCTATTTCTAAATGGCATAGCTCGTTTATTTTGACATGTGACAAGGCTATAAAATGTCTAATTGTCTAGAACTAATGTAGTTCGACAAGATAGAAGGAAAGAAGCACATATTTCTTGGTATTCACATTGAATTCTCAAAAGAGTTTCAATGAATAGCCAGTCTTTGACCATGAAAATCATTTCCCTAAAATGTACATATTATTTTACTATAGTAAAACTAACAAGAAAGCAACTATACTATTTCCTCCAATATCATTTATTTTTGAAAAAGTGAAGCCCAAAAGAAAAACAAAATCCAACATGCCGTCAATTTTTCCGATGTGAGATTTCTATTCAAAGTTATTCATGCAGGTGACACGACACTTGAGCGCTCATTAAAGAAGTGATTAAAGAACAAAAGAAAATAATTTTATTTGAATGAATCAGATTTAGCTACATCAATAATAGAGGAGAGCTCTTGCTCGTTTAAAAAATACGTCTCTTGTTATTAAATAAAAAAAAAGAAACAAGTTGTTGTAATTGTTCAGTCATTGTTTAATTAGCGTGCTGCTTCATTTGTAAGTCCTTTATTGATTCATACATCGATGGATTTTGTCGTAGCGAGAGCCACCAAAAAGAAGTTGATCCTTATTTTTTGAGGATTTAACAATTGAAATTATATAATTATAATAATCTAATGAGATATAACACTAATGAAATGTACAAAGATAAAAAAATTTAGTTCAAAAACTTATTCGCTTTCTTACGGATTAGTATGGAGACATTTAATCGCATGTGATCAATCTCATTGGAAGATGCTGTATGTTTCTGTTCATCAGTTTTGAATTGAATTAAGTGATCGAATATTGATCTTTTCTTATTAACAATTAACCAATGAGTGCTCAAGTGTCGGTGCGCTCAACTCTCGGTGTACCATTCATGCACTAAAAGTAGAAATATTTCTTTGACCTAATGGTGCAAAAACAACCAAACGAAATAACACTTTCAAACTAGCTTTTGTGTTAGACTAAGAATAATAATTTCCACAACTGTTTATTATTGTAACATATTTTCATGAAAAATTGAATAATAAAATTTTCGGATACAATAAAAATTTGTGACCAACACTGGAAGATAAGAAAAAATTGGCATTACTTTCGTCCAAAATTCAGACTACAAACAAAAGTATTGTTGTTTTTCGAACATATTTCAAGTTTGATGGCAAATAGTTCACCAGTAGGAACAATATTTGTGGATTTTCGGAGTGCTTTCGATCAATTATGGTTTCTGGGATGTATTGGAAAGCTGAAAAGAATGGGAATTCCAAGAAAGTACTTGATCTGGATAGAGAATTGGTTGATGAACAGGAGGACTTTTATTGAAATAAAAGGTGAACGTTCGAAGTGGTTTCGCATACGCAAAGGAGAACCTCAAGGCTCAATATTTACACCGTTGCTGTTTATTACTTATCATAGCGATCTTACAGAAACTCTAAATTGCTGTTTAAGTCACCATTTCGCAGATGACCTTGCGGCGATAATGGCTGGTGATATCGGGTTAAAATATTCATTGCAATGTCTTGAACTCGAAAAACAACTCTAAAGTTTTTTCGAAGAGTTGGAATACTATTGCACGCTAACAGCACAACCGATTAATTACAACAAAACGCAAGCACTGTTTTCTGCTAGAGCGATCGGCTATCCAGATATAGCATTGAAATGCGGAAATAACAAAATAGAATGGGTGAAGGAAATTAAATATTTAGGTTATGTATTTACCCCCAAGCTTGGATTTAGTGCTATGATACAGAAAACAATGCTCAAAGTACGTCAAAGAGTTGCGATGGTCAATTCATTTCGTTTGAAAGGCTTCACATCAACAGCGCTGAGAAAAGCTCTATTCAACTCTTACGTATTGCCGGTATTTGCTTGGCTTTTCCCGTTTTTTTTACTCTTTACTGTGAACCGACAGCAGGACTTGAATGAATTCTATACTCGTTGTTTGCGTAGAGTTATGTTCTGTATGCACTGGAATTCGTATTTTTTTATGTACGCTACTAATGAATTGTCACTCGAAGACCGATGTAAAAAGTATTGGGAACGATATTGGCTCGCGTTGGCAGACACAACAGACGGTCTCTTGATATTTGAACAAGGCAACCTAAATGTAATACGAGAAAATTGGTTGCGCGGAGAGAGTAGGATAAATGGTATTCATCGGTCTAAGAGATATGTCAAACACACATCACTTGTTGAGAAATGTACTTCCTGGTGCGCAAACATCCCCTCGTATGATTCTAATATCAACTATGAGCTGGAAGAAGTCGTCACTTTATATGAGTTCCCCGAAACTTTCTAAAAAAAAAGGCTTATCCATAAAACATTTGTAACTCATCTCTTTTTGTTTTTATTACCAACGGTATCTTTATTTGTTCTTTCTACACTTTTTCTCTTGATTTCACTTTATTCATCTTTTATTTATCTCTACTTTAACTTGTGTACTGTAAGGACCATGAAAGTGGTCGTCAGTTTTTAGCAAAATAAAAAAAAATTGGCATTAAATTTCGAAATTAATTTGTTTTCTTTTTTAAATCGGTCATGCAATTTTAATAATTCTTTGAAAAAGTTACTCAACGAGCACGGTTGAAATTCACAAGAATTCAGTATAGAGAACAGAACAAGCGTTCGATAATATAAAAATCAATAACCCAGGTCGAACATTCCGGTCACTGAATCCCGTAGGATGCTCCAGGAAATATGCGGGAAAGTCACCATATCCTGCAGGAAAACGCTGGAACATGGAAGCAGTATTCCGGTCAAAAATACGTCCGGATTTTTCCGGCGGATTCCTGCTAAGTTCCGGCAGGAATTGATTGGAAATCACCGGAAAAAATCTGAAAGTTTTCCAACCGGAATATTGCTTCCACAAAATCAACGGAACTAACCGGAACCGGTCGTTTTCAGACCGGACTGTTCGACCTGGGAATGATATATTAAAACACTTTTTATCAAATCGAATACCCATGAAAATAAGTGTTTACAAGCACATCCAAAATGTACTTCTCATTTTAATAACAGTATCCGATAGTTTTCTTTTATCGAAACAAAACGAAACACATTGCAGCCTCATTCTTACAAAAAAAAAGGAATCTCACAGAAAAATGTTTTTTTTTATCGTATGTTCAAATCGAGATAGCACAAAGATATACAAAAGTGAAAGAAGTAAAACAAACAATATTCAGTTAAGTCAACGAATTCGGATGTATAGTTCCACCATAAATTTTATTCGGTGATTTTTTTCTCAACAAAACCATTAAATCTTCTGATACAGATGATAATGATTCAATAGGTGTTGGTGTAGTCGACATCGTTTTAGCCGTTGTTGTTATTTGACAATCATTTAATTTACTTCGAAATGTTTTACTATTAAGAAAGAAAAATAATTTTAATTGAAAAGAAATATTTAATTTAATTTAACTGCGCTGCTAATATTCCTTCATAAATAAGTAATTGATTGCGAAATCCACCATTTGGATTTACACATGATCGTCGTTGTTTTACATGTTCCAAAGCGTCAACCAATGAATGATTATTTTCTTTCATTAAATATGCTAATACCTAGCGGAATACATCAAATACAAAATATAAAGATAATTATTTAATTCATGCAATTTACCGTTGATGCAGATCGACTAATACCCATTTTACAATGAACTAAACAAGATTGATTATTTAGTCTATAAATAATTAACAAGAAAAAATGATGAATAAAACAATTATCATCGAAATATACTTTGCTTCATTTATAAATCGGAACGTTTTTTCCCATTCTTTTAATAGATCTGCATCATCATGATCATGAACACGAACATTTAAATATTTAAAATGTCCAGGAAAAAAATTATCTATTTCACGTGAAACATTTAGAACATAGCCAATATTATTTGCTTTTAATTCTTCAAAATTTGATGCATTCCATTCTGAACCAAGATAAAGATGTGGTAAAATCATTGTTGATTTATCCATTTGTGCAAGAATTTGAAGCATTTCGTCATCAATATATTGTTTATACGATGATAGTGACATTTCAAATGCATTTTCTAATTGTTCTCGTAACTTGAACAACAAAAGATTGATATACATTACAAAAATATTAATTTTATATTCTCTTGAAAATTCTACGTGAATCTCAGATTGATCTAGACTATCGACACATTCAAAAGCACACTATTGTTGAGAAATTCTACATTAAATATATCGAGTTTTGCTATTATATAATGTGTTCCCAAAATGAACCGAGATTAGAGATATTTGTGACTTTCAATAGATTTTAGAAGTCAGACAGATTCTAACTTTGATAAAAAAAAAAATGAGAACGAAAGCTTGTCTGGCAGAAAGTAAATGAAAATACTTAAATATTTTCACAGACGTAATGTTAAAATTCTATGTGTACCAATGCCAATCTTCACTACACCGAGACAGATATTTCTTTAGATGAATACAATCAACTTACAAACTTCGGTGTTACTTGATCAAGATCAACTTGTAGCATAAGTTCTTTTAGTTTAACATTTATTCGAGTACGAAGGGCTTCTTCATCTGATGACAATCTAAAAGTGGAATTACTATTGTGATTTCGAAAAGAATAAAGATCGTGTCATACGGTTGATATAGATGTGGTGAATCACTACGATGTGATAATATATCATTCATTTGATTCCATTCATTAATATAGATTTGATTTGATCGTAAATCTATATGACGATAATATTCTAACCAACCATGTGTAACACCAGTATTAGTTATGTAATTGTAATGACGAGCTTGATTTGATGCTTTGTGTAAACTCTGATAGGCAGTCCTAGAAATTCGAAGAATATTCTTATTGTTGTTGTTGTGAAAGTGACTTTTAAATACATACCACAGAGCTTGAACACTCACCGGTTTGAACATATAACACTGATCGTATGAAGTTACCTTGAAACCACTAAATAACAAAGAATTAAATTGAAACTAGGCGTGACACGATTGAAATCGGGTAAGTAAGACTTTACACTCATGGATATTATCAAAGGAAAAGTAATTGATTGACTGATTATCACACTTGTCTATACAGTACTTATCAACTCTTTTGTGAATTGTAATTTGTAGAATTCAACGGAAAAATACTCTATGATCGAATTTGAAACTTTTTGTAAAATTCTGATATGACAGAAACAAAAACAATAGTATATCATGACCTGGAAATGTTATATTAGTTATGCCATATGCTACTCTCGATAATGTCAACGGAGACATTCTGTCATACATTCGAGTTTTCCAGCTATTTTTATTATATTAAATAAATATTGTTCTAGTTTGTGATTATTTTCTACAACGCCATTACTCATGGTCAAGATCTAATTTCTAAGTGTTGATTTCCGACCGGAATCGGTAAAATTCTGGTCAGAAAACAAAATAAAATCAACTTGTTAAAAAAAAATTTACCCATCACCATCAAGTGAAATATCCAAATCGGCCCGTATAGGTAATGTCATACCAATTGTAATTTCACTTGAAGTAACATCGAAACCAAGAAGAGCCGATCTATGAAAATTCATATAAATCAAATGAGTAACAACAAAAGCAATTTATCTTACTCTTCTGTTTGTTGTTTACCGATACATGTAATAATGACTAGGTAACGAAAACGATTTGGAAAACCACTTTCCAATTGGACCATCTATTAGAATATGATTAAATAAAAAGAAAAGATAAAAATTAATAATAACGAACCAACGTGAGACGATTGTCGGGTTGTAGAATAGTGTACATTGATTCAAGATATGGCTGCAAATTTTCTAAAAAGGCAAATCAATCTTACATGAAAAGGTTAATCTTTTTTCTTTTAAGAAAAAAAGCCAACCCGCATTGCCAGCAACGATCCTTGCCAAATGGCAGTCAATTGTATGATTACCAATCACCGCAGTCTTTTGTAAAATCAAGGTTTTCTTCACATGTAAAATAGACTGTTGATTGAACGATAAACTAGACATACAATGGAATCAATAGTAAAATAAAATGCTTCATTATGTTCTCATTCTTTCATGCTTATGATCATTATATATATATATATATATTTATTATATGAAATGGTATTATGTCCGTAAAAAATGTATTGAAGAAAACCGAGAAAAAGTAATTCTTCTACTCCTCTAATAATGGCGTCTCACCTTGTCGTCGTCCGGACGGAGAATTTTCAGTTAGTAACTCTGTCGAGTGCGTCTGACAAATAAATAATTAACCGAAAAAAGTTACTTTCTCTATATGCTCTCACATTAGGTAAATAAATAGAAGAACCTTGAATCAAATTACAAATACATAGCAAGAAAAATTAGTCATGTATGTCTTTATACCTTAAATATATTTTTATCGTCAATATGAGAAGTTTTCAGAAGAACAAACCAATATAATTTCGAATCTATAATTAAACCAAATAGATATTCAATTTATTTAGATCTTGTCAACTTATTGATCCAAGTCAAGTTTCAACATCGTAATTATGAACGAATCAGATGAGCGTCTAGATCACTTATCGGATGTATTGTACTACCAAAAAAGGAAGATGAATAGAGAAGAGAAATCAAATGAATACAACGACCAGCACATCAACTATAGCTGATGCGGATGCAGATGTCGCATAAAGTTGGTGAAGAAAAATGAGAGCAGACAAGAGTTTTTGCATAAACAAGGTGAACAATTCGTAAAATAAATGTATTGTTATCTTATCCAACGAAATAATGATAAACTAGTTACATATCTGTTAGTGTTTAATATTGGATTATACTCCGTACAATAACTAGTATTTTTTAGGAATTATGATAGGCTTGATGTTTCTTGTTTAGTACATAGCAGAGGAAGCGTAGTAGTAATTCAAATTATGAAGAATACAAGGCATTAAATAGAGCATTCTACATGTCGCAGGAGCTGTATAGTTACCCTAGCCAAACTTTTTTTTTCAAGCGCTTGACAAGGCTTGAACTCAAGATGTGTCCATAGCGCAGGACCATCTTGCCCAAGAAGTTCAAGAAGATCATGCGCATGTGCGCAAAAAAATTATAAAAATTTTTGGTATAGGTAACAACGTTTTTTCTTC